GTCGTCGCTTCGGTTCACAATACAATAAGGTAAGTTTCTTTAACTCTTGAGGCGTGTTTCCGATTTGGCCGGTCTTCTCATTTTAACTTCTCTACCGACTAGCCTAGAACCCTTCCAATGCCAATTCCCTTAGGCAAGACCTCGGTTCTCTCTTGTAGTCGCATAGCCTAAGTTACAAGTCTACTTTGGCGCACAAGGTAAGAGTTTATCGGTTAAATATTACTTTATTGTTTATTACTTAATGCATTGCTAACTCTCCACTTACATGCCTACTGAATGGCGCATATATTTATACATGCGCCTGTTATCCAATCGTTATTCTACATTAATCTAGAAATTTCCGTCACTAAACTTTCCCACACCTATTTTCCCACCTTAATTCCCCATGGATCACGACAACAGGATGACGTAACGTGATATCGCGTTACAGGCCTGTGCCGATTTTACCCATAACACTATGAAATATTTCACACGTCCGTATCTCACAATTTGCCACCTAGTGTCACAACGAATGACGAATCTGTTGCTAAACCGGTGTGTTGGCTTGTTGCTTGTTAGACTTTTTACCTAAAGATAAAGTTTCTGAAGTGCTTCGATCTGACTGAGTTCTAACTTGAATCTTCATACTGCAAACGTTTAGCAGCCCACTAGTTGTCTCGTTAAAAAACAGTCACTTGTTTTTCTTTATTATTTTGAGATTACACAAGTTTATACTGCACTTGTTCATATCTTTATTGAACGGTAAGAAGTCAACAATAATTTCATTCTACAGTATTTCATTATTTACATGCTTATATGCTAATCCTTCTGCTGTAATACATATCGATATTTTATTTAGATTACGTTATGCAAATATGTCACTGTCTTATTATTTTTACATATCGCGTTGCGTGCATTCGTTGCATTGCCCAATATATTAGGATATAAAGAGAAAGTTGTATAAATTTAATATATATAGTTATAAATAAATAGGTAAATAAAGAATGCAAAACCTATCGTACTATAATATTAACATAAAAAAGTTATAATTTAAAATCGCTTAATATATAAATATGCAAAAAATATGTATTAAATATTTTTTAAAGTTTATGGAATTATTGTTAATTCCAAAATTTAAGAATTAACGGTTAAATTTAGAATTTTAGGATTTCGGAATTTACGTTATTATAAATGGAATGCCTAATCATTTTTACCAATTTATAAATGCCGAAATGTCTAAATTCAACAATTATTACAGCATCTATAGGATGGCCATAAAGTTTATAAGTGAAGATGATAGAATATAAAGTTTCATTAATGAATATAATATAGTAGAGAATGAAATATAAAAATAATCTTCATTTCGTAGGAAGGAAATTATATAGAATGAAATTAACGAAAAAGCATTTTATATTTTTCTTTAATTATATTTATAAATATTTCTATATTGAAATTAAATAGCTTGCACACATATTTATAAATGGTATATCTTTTTAGTGAATCAATTCATTAATTAACTCATTAATTTCATGATCATTTTCCTCCGTCGATTCCTTTATCGATTTCCTCAATTAGTCATTTTTTCAAGGAAATATTTTGTTCTTTGAGGCCGCACAGGTACCTTCGATAGTCGAAACCAGTTAGTGCTCGATTAATATTTGTATCAAGGAGTGCTATATGTATTTCAGTAGAGTTATACTGTTTAGAAAGCAATTTTTTGTTTTGTAAAATGTCCCTTTGTTGTGCAATTGTTATAGTGATATCCTCAGTAAACTGTTCATTCTTTAACTCAGAGATCTGAGTGCGTAGGTTTTCCGTGTTCATTAATAATATTTCGAAGAAAAAAAGGAGTAATGTTAGGAGAATTTGCTAGGCATCTTTATCCGACAGTTAGAATTAATTCGTGTGCACGTCGAGCACCAATAATTTCATCGGAAAGTGATGTTGTCCTCTCTTCTTCAGGTAATTCTCCCATCAAGATCTCATAAGCTCGGGAGCTGACCCGTTCTCCTCTTCTAAAAGCTCTGTTCATAGGTTTGGCAACATGGTTAGGGATTTTTTTCCTTTCTTCAATAAATTCAGGTTGGGTAAAAATAGTAGACGTTTTACAGCCTCTTGTTTTATTTTTTCGACTCAAGCAATAATTTCATTGAACACCTCCACAATTCAAACCATATACAGAAATGGATAAGACGATAGACGTTTGATTCCCGATAGATTTTACGCAGCTTCCAGAATATATTGTGAATTTTAATATTAAGCCCAGGACCTTCTTCAAATTCTTCATTTGGTATATCAGTAATATGGTTTTCAACTTCTTTATATCCAGCTTCCATCCAAAATCAGACGTCGTTCCGATTTTGAAAGGGTGTTTGAGTAATATAATTAATATCTAGGGGCAGAGAAAAGTTTTTCCTTTCCGTTACTTCCGACGACATGCTTGCCGTGTTTGCTTTTCTTTTTTTTTGCTGATTTAGCACTAAGTTTTGTGAGTCGAGCACTAGATTCAGGTGTAGATTCTTCAATCTGCATCGTGACTTTTCTCTTTCCTAATGATTTAGCACTATGTTGCATTAGGGTAGGTGTGGGCGGAGCACTAGATTCCGAAGATGTTTCTTTTTCAATCTGCATTGTAGCTTTTCTCTTTCCTATTGATTTGGCACTAGGTTACGTTGGGGTAGGAGTGGGCAGAGTACTGAATTCTGAAGATGATTCTTCTTCAATCTGCATCTTATTCTTTCTTTTCCTCAATGTTCTAGGCGTTTTAGAAGTTGTTTCTTAGGACTGCGGAGTGGGTAATAATGTAATGCTAGATGTTAATGTCCATATTTGATTTGGCGGTGTTGATGGCGTGACTAATTTTTCTACAACAGATTCTGATGTCAGTGCATGAGTTGGCAGTGTGGGCGAACCATCAGGTTCTAAAATTTGAGTCGGCAGTATGGATTGTGAAATAGGTTCTGGAATTTTTTCTTTAGCATGTGGCGAGATAGTTATTTCTGCAGTACCAAGTTCCGAAATTTGTATCCCATTTAATGGTTTGATTAGTTTTGTGGTTTCTTCTTGAGCACTTTCGTCCTCCGAAGCATCTCTGATAAAAATAGGCTCATTTTCATTTGATCCAAGAAGTATCTTTCTAATTTCATTAAAATCTGCAGTATTTATAAGCACTGCGGACGGTGCATCAAGATTTGTGGTAGCGATATCATAATTATTTAAAGTGGTGATAGCCTGTCGTTTTAAATTGTCAAAAGCAATTGATAAGATCATTCCCTTGGTCGCTTTCCAAATATTATTTATCGATTGTTCAATAATTATTTCTTTATCTTCTATCGTTTCAACTAAGTTTCTTTCTGACATTGTATTGAGAATTAAGAAATTGGTTTATTAAAATTTTATAAGTCGTAAGAGTATATATATATGAATAGAAAATTGGAAAGTCTAAAGTTAATACTGTATAAATGGTTGATGCCATGCTGAAAACTTTATTATATGTTAAATCATGAATCACATTTTAACGATATGAAGTTATCGAAATCAACGTGCAAATTTAATGTGAAATCATCGATCTCAATTAAAAGCCTATTAGATATAAAAGTGAGTTAAAATATGTAAATGGTTGGTGTCATGCTGACTATTACATGTTAAATCATGAATCATATTTCAATAATATAAAATCGTCGAAATCATTGTGCAAAATTTTAAGGAAGTGAATTATCGAATACTCCGCACTAATACTGTAGTATTAAATGTATATTAAAAAGTTAAATATGTACTAATGATTATGTAATGCTGAAGGAATATACTGTACGTATGTAGTGTGACGGGCCAACGGCGAGTCTCTCACTAGCTGGGAGTAGAATTCACGTAACCTTTACTTCAAGTTACAAATTAAAACTCAAAAGAGACGGATTTGACTTGACCGAATTCTCTACTTCTTTATTAGATACTTTTTCATGCTTTTTATACATGTTTTTGTCATTTAGATAGAAGTGTTCAGAAAATAGAACAAAGAGATCGAAATCAATAGAATATTTAAGGTTTATAAAGTATATTACAGTATGTCGTCCTATTGTTCGTCACTGGTCAATCCTTATTCGATACTCCGGTTAAATATAAGTTATGTGACTATTATTGTGTCTTATTTTTGCCTCCTATACAGTAGTAGGTCATGAGACAGTCAATCAAATTTAGCATTTATCACGTGATCATAGAAAGTTTTAGTTAATTTGTAAACAATCCTCTGTATAATTCTTCATTATCTATTCTGTGATATCACTAAAGAATGCGAGATAGCATATTCAGCCTCTCTACCTCTAATTTTTCCTTCTATATCTACATTTTTTTTTTCTTTTTTTTTTACTTAATAAATTGTCAACTACAATTCCCGTAACAGCACCTATACTACCACCTAAAAGTGCACCTGCTGGCCCTAAAACAGCAGCACCCGTCAAAACTCCAGATCCTGCAAGAGTCATTATTACCGCAGGATCTGTTTCCTCAACATGTTCACTTTCACTCTCCCTTTGTTTCTGTTCCAATAACTCTATCTTTTTCCTATACTTTTCCTCAGCTTCACTTCTTGCATTTTCTTTTAGCCTTTCTTCGTATTCCTGTCCTTTTCTTCTATCCTCCTCTTCTTTTCGACGTCGAGCCTCCTCTTGTTCACGCAGATTTTTTTCAAGCTGTTCAGTTGGATAAACACCCTGCATGCCATTTATTAAATCCTTGATTTCCCTTAATAGTGTACCATAAAATGGGTCTTCAGGATAATAAGGATTTGGAGAGATCCCCCAACGATTTCTAACATTTTGAATAAATGATCGAATGGAATCAGTCGAAGACCTCATCATTTCATTTCTATTTTTGATATGGTCTGGATTTGCACGAGAAAAAACAACTATAATATGGTTTGTTGCGTCTTTTCCAAGAAAAATTCTTAATTTATTCAATGCTTCATTCTGTTCATTGGTAAACCGACCCCATTCTAAGAATTCGATTCAAAAATTAATTTAAATTTGAAATGTAATTAATCAAGGTTTATTATCATCATAGCATACCAATAACTATAAGAATTGCTTTTACACCATGTTTAATTTTATTAACAGATTTTGCAATTTCTTCAAGTGTTTTATCTATATCTTGACGGGTGTCAAAAATTCCGGGAGTGTCAACAATTGTATACTTTTTACCATTGATTGACATTGTCTCCGCTTTACATTCCTTCGTGACGGAATCCTATACGTATTTTCGATATCACTTCAAAATAATTTAATGGAGATTACTAATTTGTATAAATATACTACTCACCATACTCGCTGAAGCATTAAAAGTACCATTATTATGTGGTTTCCCGAGAAGCAAGTTTCCTAGAGTACTTTTTCCCGCACCTAAATTTTTATTCCTCAATCAACGAATGAAATAAAAAAATATACTAAATATATAAGTTACTTTCCTGTTTTTCCTATTAAAAGTACGAGTGGATAGTCAGCATGTATTTCGTATGTCATGATAAGCGTCACGACTTTAACAATATATTAACCGGAGACAGAAAAAATATATTTTTTCTCCGAATGAGAATCCAGAGATAACTGAAATATGGCCTATTTATAAAAGGTGATCTAGGGCTTTTATTCAGCCATTATTTCTAAAAGAACTTAATCAATCATTATAATTTTATAGAAAGTACATAAGCCCTAAGCTATATAGATGGATATTATGCTGCGCACCGATTTTATTTATTCCTAAAAGAAACTTATTTAATCGTTATTTTTATAGAAAGTACATAAGCCCTAAGCTATATAGATGGATATTATGCTGCGCACCGATTTTATTTATTCCTAAAAG